TTCAGAAATATACATATTATATATAAAATATCAGTTTTAATCCATCAAATCATTTTTAATTTCTAGGCATCCAGCCTTTGCTTTCTTAGACTTGATTCCTTTACCATTTACACCGAGAGAATCATTCACAAAACTGATTCAAATCGACCCAAACCGATTCAAACCGACTAGGTCGGTTTTACTTAGTACTGGGTCGGTTTTGGTTTCATTTCTAGGTAAACCGACCAGGTCGAGTTGGTTGAAAAAATGCCAGTAAACCGACCCAACCCAACCCAACCCGTGAACAGCCCTAACATGGAAAATAAAACAACATGAGTAAATACAGTTACCCGGGTAAATCTTTCCTGAGAAACAATTACCTGGGTAAGTGCATTTACCCAGATAAATAACTTACCGAAATGCAAATTCTGTTATGTTAGATGGGCAGGTATGGAAAGAACTATCATGGTCAGAAAATCCAGGCTCATCAAATTCTGTTGATCATTTTTTTGTTTTTTTTCAATCCACTTGGATCTGCTGGAATACTAGTGCCTCCTTAGGAGGGTTTTCGAGATGTGACTACTGGCATTCTAAATTGGGTCCATACAAGAATTTCAAAAGCTTTGTTTGGTAAAAATCTAGGAAGTTAACAAGGGCCTTCTGAACGTCCAACTACTACACAAACATAAAACTACTCTGAGTAGCTTCTCTGGAACACCGATGCAAAACCACCCCAGCTCAATTTACACAATGCACCCCAAACACATAAGCCCTTTCTAAGAAAACCACGAAAGGGAAAAATAACTAAGAAACAACTGATAAAACCATAAGACTATAATTCAAAGGAGGAGAAGAACAAGGAGAAATTCTTTCTCTTGAAAAACATGTACAAGAGGGGCCGAAGGCCACACTATATATACAAGTTGTGGGCAGAAAAATAGTAAGTAAAAGAAAAAGAAAGTAAAGGAAAAAGGAAAGTCTAGCAAGATATTATGCACCTYCCTATCTAATCAAGATATTATACACCTTCCTAATTCGGGGGATATACACTTTTTTAATTGTAATTTCCTATTATACACCTTCCTAATTCGTGGGATATTATTCACTTTCCTATTACTCCCCCTCAAGTTGGAGCATGAGGGTTCGAAGTGCCCAACTTGCAAAGGAGAAATTGAAATTGTCGCCTGCCAAGACCTTTAGTGAACAAATCCGCTAACTGTAAATATGATGGAAGGTAGCGTGGTAAAATTTCGCCAGAAAGCAGCTTTTCACGTACAAAATGGCAATCTACTTCGATGTGTTTGGTCCTCTCATGGAAAACGGGATTGCTCGCAATGTGTAAAGCTGCATTGTTGTCACAGAAAAGACTAGTGGCTCCTGACTGTGGTGTTAATAATTCACTCAATAGTCTTCGCAACCAGACTATTTCACCAGTAGCCATGGCCATGGCCATGGCCCTATATTCTGCTTCAGCCGAGGATCTAGACACTGTGGGTTGTTTCTTGCTCCTCCAAAGAATAGAAGAAGAACCAAGTTGGAAGTACAATCCTGTCACTGATTTTCTGGTCAAAGGGCAGTTTGCCCAATCTGCATCGCAGTATCCTCGCAATATCATGTCATTCTCACCATTTAGCAATATACCTTGCCCTGGGCATCCCTTGAGATATCTCAGA